TTCTTCATTTACCATCCAATTGCAAATGAGACATCTGCCATTGGTGACACACAGAAAAACTATAAAGATGAAGATTTTGATACTTTGATATCTCAAGTGTGTCTGAAGGAGGATAATCCTGGTGAGCACACAGATACCATTGGTGCTGGACTGGAACTATTTGATGACTTGTGCCCTATCAAGTTGAACTTTGACGTTCATGGAACGAGCTTTGGGTCACAACAGTTAGAAACATGCAATTTATTGAAAAATTGGTTCTCAATGTGGCAAAAAAATTACCGTCCGTACCATGAACTCTGCACACGGACCAAATTTGGGAAGAAAGATGCAGAATTCTGATATGTAGAAGTGGCGTTTTGAATTTCCATTAGGGTATGTTAATTAACGAAATGAAGGTTCTCTCTTCTCTCTCTCTTTTTGTTTGTTTGTATGCAAGGTAGAACCTGCAATTGTTACCCAATCTCTTGACTATCTACTTCATTTTTGCTTCTTAATTCTTTCATTAATCTTGATTTGGTAGCTGTGAGACATGCCACCATCAACAAAATTGAAATCAGTGGTACTGATATCAAAAAACCTCCGACATAGGTGCAGGAGCAGCGATCTATTATTTGAGCTTCATACAGCAAGAACTGATACCAAATGAGTATTATTGTAATTTGTAAACAAATTCATTTACATGAAAGCAAATGGGGTACACATCACCACATAAAAGCAAGGACCCTTGGCTCAAAATTTTATAGAATCAAAGGTCAAAAAGATTCAGAACAAATACGGTTCCTAGTTCGTCTGAATTTCACAAGAACTATGCATTATTGTTCACTCAATTTCCATATCACTTATATACAGATCTTCAAAAAAATATGGTCCCACCTTAAAAGATAAAGGCATCCACCCATAGTACGGCCATCTTGGTCAGATCAAATGTAGCAAACCCTGTGAGGGAAAGATGAAGTTTATTCATGACTCGGCTGTTTCTGGGTAAGAGTTAAAAACATATGCTGTATGTATATAGAAAGGAAAGGTACCGATTCTAGTTGGAGAAAACTCTCTCATTCTGATTGTTTATCCATGGCCCTCATTGGTGTATATAACTGCTCTCTGGAGAGAACTAATGGCAGTACTATGATGGATCTGGAGAAGCTGAATGAAGGCACAGTAGGAAAAAATTATTAACCCAGGTGACCACATACTGCAGTAACTGGGCTTCTTAGTTTCCTTTTCCCTAGTAAGATGCAAGGCATGAAACCTACTGCTTCAGCATTAGAACTATTTTACATTGATAGCAGCAGCCATGTTCCTCAGCTTCTGAGAAATTTCTGAAAACGATGGCCTTTCTGAAGGATCAGAGGCCCAACACTTTTCCATCAAAGCCTTCCATTCAGGATCACACCATGAAGGAATTTTTGGACGCAGTGTATTGTTTACAATACCTCCTGCAAATCAAAATGAGAGAAATGTAGAAAGAGATCACATCATATGTCACTTAGAAATAAAATTATGACACATTATGTTGATTTCAGAAGCTTTAACACAATAAAAAGAACTTTACTCAGAAATCAAGGGTCAGACTTCCTTCAATAAAAGAAATTACTAGCTGGTCTAAAATATCCTTCCCAACCCCCTGCTTTCCTCCTTTCACTCCAAAGAACCAAAGAGGTGAAGGAAATAAACATCAAAATGGCCTGAGAAATGCTAATTGATTTTTATTTAATTTGTTGGGATATGAAAAAATGAACACACACGATAAGTGGGGGGCTTTGAACCATGGGACCTTCGCATATTGTTTTACTACTGCAGCACGTCCTCATCAATAGAAACACTAGTTACTGTAATTAAAAAACAGTGATCTAATTCCTTCTTTCACATAGATAGCAGTAAGACCAAGTTAATGAATCTACAAAGACAAGATACCAAATTTCTTTAGGTAGGGTTCAGATGAAGGATTCTAAATGAGGGATTTCAAAGAAAATATGAAAAAAGGAATTTCAAATTCCTTTTCTAAATGACCTTTCATGTTAAAAA